GTACCCATTTAGCAAGTTGGCTTTTTCCTGGGTGTCGGTCATCAGTTCCCCCTTTTGGTTTAGCAGGGGTCCAATGTTGCCCTTGCTTTTCCTCCCACTCCTCACATATCTGAAAAAGGACTTTTTATTGTCCTTGATACTTGTAGCTGTGCGGGAGCTAAGGAACCCAGAGACCCCGGGGAAAGCAGCGGCAGGATAGCCGCTGCGTCGGGCCTGCCCTTGCCCAGCGAGACGGGGCACTCACGAAGTGATTGCAGCTGGGGTCGGAGAGAGGCTGAGTTAAAAGGGCCAGCGGCCCGCGAGACTGTGGCGGCAGCGGAACCGGAAGTGCCCGGACAAGCGACAGACACCGGCGAGACGGGAAGCTGATGGAGGCGATCCGCCCAGCACCAAACCCGCACGTTCTGGGGTGCGGGTAAGACCCCGGCAGGGGACCGGGCCGGAGCATCGGGCAGCCGGAAACCCAGCCCGGCAGTTCCCCTCAGGAGCCAGGGGAAGCAGTGGGGTAGTGCGGCTGGTGCGAGGAGGGAGCGGCTCACCAGTCCGGTGAGCAGGAGACAACCCTACAAGGGTGAGGATTCCCCCCCTTCTCCCACGTCCCCAGTGGGAAGAGGGGCACTCCGCAGGAGAACAGGGGTCGTAGGGACCCAGCGGACGGAACTCCTGGCCGAAGGAAGTGTGGCTCAGACCATTGCAGAAACTGGGGCGAGCTAAAAACCCATGGGAAGAAGGGCATTGATCTGAGGACTATTCAGGCCAGTCGGGACCCTATAACCGGAGGCCAGGGTGAGGGGGTAGGGGTGGAGGAGCCCTCTGCATCCCCGGGGACCTACATTCACAGGGTGCCACTTTTGGACGTGCACATGCCATACGAACAACTGAACCAGAGCAACATCAAAGACGTGGCAGGCAAGGTCAGCGGGTGCACTGCGGGAAGTGAGCACGCGCTCTAGCGAAAGGGGTCCTTTCGGACCAGACCAACCTGAAGGATGAAGGGTCTACTCTTCACAGTAGCCAGTTGGAGTTCCATGGCAGCCTTGTCTTTCCTGGTTTGCTCCCCACAGGTCTGGACCAGTGCAGAGTATTCCTACTTGGAGGTGGATCCCATCTTCCATCCCTTGTAGATCTATCTTTTTAGACGCAGGAGGACTGGTAGTTCCCTGCAGAGCCAAGAATAGCCTTAGCTTGTGCATCTAGGATTGCTCCCTTAAGGAGCAACCACTCTTCCTGGACTCCCCTCCCTTTGGGGTCATGGTCCCTTAGAACCTCACTGACAGGTCTCCTGAGCTTGTCAAAGTCAGTCCTCCTGAAGTCGAGGACCTCTGTACCGCTGGCTGACTTGACAGCTTTTCAGCAGATGGTGAAGGTGATCAGCTCATGGTCGTTGTCACCCAGCTTCCCTTCAATCGTTAGGTCACTGATTAGGTCATCCCCAATTGCCAGTACCTGGTCATTCAGTGCTTTGCCTCTTGTTGGCCCGTAGGCTTCTTGAGTCAGATGGAGCTCATTCATGCATGTGAAGAAGCTTTGCGACCCTTCAGATTTGGCTGAGTACTCTTCCCACGAGGTGTCAAGGTAGTTGAAGTCCCCCATGACAACCATGGACCGGGAGCATGCAGCCTCAGTCAATTCTCTGGCAAACTTCTGGTCAATCTCTTGATTCTGGGAGGGAGGTCTGTAGTAGACTCCCACCATTGTATCTCCTGTGCCATGTTCTCCACGGATTTTAACCCAGAGGGTCTCTAGTGATCCACCCTGGGTGCTGATGGCTTGTAGGACTGCATAGCTCTCCTTGACGTAGAGAGCTACACCTCCACACTATTTGTCCACTCGATCTCTCCTGTACAGGGTATAGCATTCTATACCCATGGTCCAGTCATGGGTGGAGTCCCACCAGGTCTCTGTTATCCCTTTGACATCATAATTATTTGTGTTTCTTAAGGCAACACTTGTCTTTAGGTGAGCTGTAATGAGCAGGCACTACCTGCCCTTGCCCTGAACACTCAAACACAGAGTCTACTCCACAGAAGAATTACCACATTTGCTAAAGTTTATGACCCTTACACCCTCTTATGAACAACCTCACCCTTACACACAAGCTGCCATTTAATACTAAATTTTCATTTGTCCATGATTAAACATACTGATTTCTGTCATATGGATAGGTCTTGCTTGACCAATCTTATTTCCTTTTATAACCAGGTAACCTATTACCTGGAGAAGGGGTAAAATTGATGTCATAGTTTCATAGTTAGTAGGGTCGAAAGGGACCTGAGCAGATCAAGTCCGACCCCCTGCCATGGCAGGAAACCTAAAGTCGTATACCTTGACTTTAAAAAAGCCTTTGATCTGGTATCCCATGATCACCTCTTAGCAAAACTAGTCATCTGTGGTCTTGGCCTCACCACAATCTGCTAGCTGGGGGATTGGCTCAGTGGTCAGACCCAGAGTGTGGTGGTTGATGGAAGTCAATCATTGTGGTGCGCTATGACCATTGGGGTCTCTCAAGGCTATGTCCTGGAACCTATATTATTCAACATCTTCTTTAATGATGTGGGCATTGGCATCAAAAGCAGACTGGCCAAGTTGGCCGATGACACCAAACTTTGGGGTTAAGCATCCACACCTGAGGATGCTTTACCCCAAAGCGCCTCAGGAGGGTGATGCAGGCTGACCTTGACAGGCTCAGGAAATGGGCGGATGAGAACCTGTTGCTGTTTAACACTGAGAAATGCAAGGTTCTCCACGTTGGGAAAAAAAACCTGCAGCATTCTTATAGGCTCAGCAGTTTTACGCTGACTAGCACTACGGATGAGAGGGAATCGGGGGTCAGGATTTACCACAAGATGAACACGAGCCTGCAAGGTAATGCTGCAGGTAGTAAAGTGAGCAAAACGCTGGCTTTCATCCATAGATGCTTCTCAAGCAAATCCCAGGACACCATTCTCCCATTGTACTCAGCCTTGGTGAGTCCGCAGCTGGAGTACTGCATCCACTTTTGGGCTCCACAATTCAAAAAGGATGCAAAGAAGCTTGAGAGAGTCCAGAGAAGAGCCACGCACAAGATCAGAGGTCAGGAAAACAGTCCTTATGACAAGAGGCTAAGAGCACGTGTGTGTGTAGGGGGGGAGTTCTCAGCTCCTCAGAGGGTAAAATCTCATCACATCGCACTCACAGCTTTCACAACTGCTCAATTCTTACAACATTCAATACAGCTGCAATACTTGCTGGGGTGGTTTGGCCCCAGTACTCTTTCCTGCCATGGCAGGGGGTCTGACTAGATGATCTACTCAGGTCCCTTCTGACCCTAGAAACTATGAAACTATGAAACTTGTCTATGGAGTGTATGGTAATTATTAGTAACTTAAATCATTTATTTTTTCCTTTACAGAGGTTTGAGTTTTGCTGTATCTGTGCTCTAGAAGGAAAGAACACAGTGTTTTGTTATTATTATTAACTGGCCAGAAAGAAAATGTAAAGCTTGTTTTTAAAGGTTTTCTACCTTCCTATCCTTTTCTTGTGTTCAGGCTTAGTCAATCAATCTGAAGGCAAAAGGACTTGAGAGTATTTTTTAAAATAAAAATCAAAATACAGGTCTATGCCTACAGGCATGATTTAGTATGTGTAACATGATGGATAATGGCAGTGGTTGGTAGACTTGTAGGTGTATAGAATTAAATTATTTTAGAACACATTAATAGGAGACTTGAGTATAAGAAGTAAAAAAAATGCACACAAATGTACTTGTCACTTGCATTAACCTTTTTAGTTTATTTCATAAAAAATAATGGAAATCATAGAAATTAAGGACTGGAAGGGACCTCACAAGATCATCAAGTCCAACCCTGTCCCCCCCTCCCCCCACCCCCCCCGGCAGGAACACGTCTAAGATCAAATGATCCCAGCAAAGTGTCTGTCCAGTCTCCTCTTGAAGACTTTGAAGGTTGGCAGCATGTTAGCCCTTTTCCAGTCTTCTGGGACCTCTCCTGAGCACCACCAATCTTAAAACACCTTTGCCAACTCTCCCCCGCATCCATCCAGTATCTGACCAGATGGGTGACCACCATTTGTATGCAGGAGCACTAACGCAAAGTGCTCATTAAAGAGTTCAGCTTTCTCCTGACTGGCTGTTACCAGCTGCCCCATCCCATTCTGCAAAGGCCACACATTTCCCTTGGTCTTCCTCCTGCTCCCTATATACCTGAAGAAGGATTTGTTATTGCTCTTGATTTCAGTTGTCAAGCTGATTTTGGTTGCTCTTCTTGCCTTCCCTGCAAATACGGGCTACACTTGTGTATTTCTCCTTGGTGGAATACACAAGTATAGTACAAGTTTTAGTACATCATCCTAAACTACTTCCTGATAAATAAACTTGCTGGTCTTAGGGGCATGCTACAGTTAGAATAGCCAGCTTGAAATACAATAAATATATATTTTTAAATATATATTTTTAAAACAAAGTGAAAGATGACTAAGGATTTGTGTATATCTGCATATATGCATGTGTGTGTGTGTGTGTGTGTGTACACACACACACACACACACACACACACACAAATATATATGTATTGAAGCCCTTAATCATTAATATAGATGCTCAAAATGCTGAAGTCATTATCAGAGATGTTTTCCCCCACTTCCTGAAAAAAAATTGAACTGTGGCTTTGTAAATGTTACTTCTCACTTTTTTTCCCCTGGTTTCCAGGTTGAAATGATGAATGATTTTGAGGAACTGTTTGTTAATGGATTATTATAGTTTCCTTGGAATGTGCTGAGAGCTGACAGAGAACTCTTAATCTATTTTCTGGAATCCAGTGAACAGGCAGAAATTATATTAACTACGCTTTTAATGAAAGACCTACTGTTCAATGATCTGAACCATATGTGAGTCTGAATGCTAAAGTCTGTGCAAACATCAATGGGAGGTGCAGTTTAGGGAATGCTGGCATAACAAACCTATCTAACAGCAAGGGTACGTAGTAAGCTTTCATTAACTTAGTTGCTTGTGTTGTACTGGCAAGGCTAAGCTTTCCTCTGATCCTTTTTGGTTCTGAGCATTGCGCATGAGCAGATAGTGTATACTGCCTCTGGAAACTGATGATAGCCTCTGTACCGTGGCAGGACTCCTTTCACAGAGAAACTTGGAATCAGCTCTGAAATTGAGATCACATCCAATGCATGGATTGCCTACTATTCTAAACTACCAGAGTGCAACGGGAAACTACCAGGTACTGTATTTCTTACTTCTTATGCGTGGACATGTACAGGGAATTTTTAATAGGCTTGCGGAAAGGCCTTGTACTGCCCTGGACACAAATAATTGGAAAAAGCTTCTGAAAAGATGCTTGCTATTATAGTGACAGCTGCTATCTGCAAGTATTTCAAGAACATGCCTGTGTTTTGTAAAGTGGGATCAATCAGCTGTGGTTGCTTTGAAACTATGAGAACTGGTTTGTGTTGTATGCACCCAGTCTGCCATTAGGAATGTTTTAAGAGCAGCTATTCTAACAAATTGAAGTAAAGAGTCATTATCATATAAGAGATTTCCAGGAGTTATGTTCAGCTGGGTGCTACGGGTATGTTGTTTGCATGGAAAGGAAAATGCATTTAACAAGGCACAGATTTTGCCTAGGGAGAGATGCAAGATTTAAGCTGGATATTTAGGAATATTTTAATGGCAAAGTGGAGAGAATTTAAACAACGCTATTGGTATAAAAGTAATCTAGTTAATGAGATGTTAAAAGTTTATACACAATAACAATCTTGATTAATAAAACTGCTGATTTTTTTCTTTAAGAACTGCAGTTAAAAAAGAGAGTTTCATAGTAGTTAGGGGTTACAAGGGACCTAAATAGATCATCTAGTCTGACCCCCAAATTTTAAATTTTACTTTTTCGTTTAATCATGACTAATCATAATAAAAAACCTGTTGTATATGAGAAATTAAGGCCTTGGGGGTTTTGTTCAGTGGGGTGAGGTGTCCTAACCTGTAAATACTTGCAGTCATTTTAACTGACTAGGTTTGATAGACAGGGATTACCAGAGCCTATACTCTTCCCACACGCTATTTCCACCTACACTAGAGAAGGAATTTGAAGAGAGTGAACCTATATAAAAGTAGTGTATTTGTTAATATACTGTTTTAGGCATCTCCAGGAAAGACTTCTGGTGTTCATTCTTGTATTTCAAATAAAGGTAACGTTGCTGGTTAGCTTGGGAATGACTAGCAGACAAATGCATTATAATTTTAACTGATTTTCAACAATGCTGAGACCCTGCAACTCCCACTAACTTCTGTGGATAGTGGGATTACCTAGAATCTCTGAAAAATTCCACCACAGGAGAGATCTGAAAAAAATCAGGATTCTTTTATAGTTTCATAGTTTCTAGGGTGGGAAGGGACCTGAGCAGATCATCGAGTCCGACCCCCCACCATGGCAGGAAAGAGTACTGGGGTCAAATGACCTCAGCAAGGTGATCGTCTAGCCTCCTCTTAAAGACCCCCAGGGTAGGAGCAAGCACCACTTCACTTGGAAGTTGGTTCCAGATCCTAGCCACCCTGACTGTGAAGGAGCGCCTCCTGATATCTAGCCTAATTTTCCGCTTCCTCATACGGTGTGTAGCTAAATTTGGGTCCGCACAGACACTGACTGGGGGCAGTAAAGGTCCAATAAACATTTGCTTTTTTGACACCATTTGGAAAGTTACTGTCAGTTTCTTGTGCGTATAGGCTGTGGGGTACCAGAATCAGATCCATTCTAAATCCCTAATTGTAAAAAATGCAATTTTTCTGCAAAGGTTTGTAATCCTGGTGAATTAGACTTTCTTTGTTATTGAGAAATTATTACCAGTATCTACACAGAATTGAGTATTATAAGCATTTCCAGCTCATGTAGGTATTAAACTAAACTGTAGAACATGGCAGTTAGATTATTAAACAAACAAAACCCACAGTACTGGGATATTTGGGCTATATTCAAAGCTGTATTAGTGATCATTGAATAAGCTTTGATAAGCCCATTCAAAAGCTGTGAACCAAGGTCATTTTGGTCTCTCTTTTCATCCTTTGTAACAACAGCTTCTTGTTTTAAATGCATGCCAACTGGAAAGCAGTAGGAGTGATAACTCTGACTTAGCAGGCATATAAAAATATGTAAAAGAACAAAGGTAAAATCCACAGATAAGAACGGTCCAGAAACAATGTCAGGAAAATCTGACATTTTTTCCAACAGGAAATAAGAGGTATGTTACAACAACACAATGCACAGCAAAATACAAAATCAGAAAGATGCACGGACTACTCATTCAAAGTACAAGGAGAGTCAAATTGTCAGTGTTTCTGTAAAAATGACATCAGCAAAAGGGTCTGTGAACATGAATGAGAGAGTACTTTTAGTGTCTCTAAAGACATCCTGAACTGTTAAAAAAACATAGCATTTTGGAGATGACAGTGAACAGCAATTGTTTCTGTTGTTACAGGGAGTAAGTCTTATCAAGGATGAAACTGTAAGTAGATCTGTAGGATTCCTTAGTTAAGAAAACTGCCCATAACTAAATATAAATATCTGTTGGACACGGTTGAAAGGCAGCGGAAAAGGAAGAAGGAGTTTCTGTCTAAAAGTTAGTGCAGAGACAAAGAAAGCTTGTCACATTTTAATTTTCATCATATTCATGGAATATCATGCATGTTATTGATTCCAGGTGCCATTCCAGTTGATTCCAGCTGTAGTTTCTGGTTACTGTGGACTTGCATGACAGTTGCATCATACCTGATTCAATGACTTAAAAATAAATAAATCAAAGAACCAGGTCCAGAAAAAATAATTATTAGATACACATGAATAATCAATCCTTTCATTTGCTAACCAAATCAAAATATTTAGGGGGAAGGGTCATTTTGGTTTGACCCAAAATATGTTTTTCACTTTGTCCAGTGAAATGAAAAATGTGAATAATCATTCTGTTTTAGTAGGATGCATTTCCTTGCACAATTGAAAAGTAGCTAATTTTTAAAGGGAAATATTAGTTCAAAATGATTTGCTTACAAATGTTGAAATGAAGAATGTGACTTTTTTGCCTGAGAGATTGTAGTATAAAATTTGTTGGTCAGCCTGAGTAGGCATTTTTCAGGAGGGAAAAAAAAAGTTACACCTTAAAAATGTTGCCCAGCCCTATGTTTCTCTCTTTGAGCTCAAGCAGATAGCTAGCTTTGGGTGGTCATGTGAGTAATGCCCTTTAGGAAAACAAATGAATGGCAAAGTCTAGTACAATCCTGCTTAATGTATAAAGAGGATACATACAGTCCCCAATAGGAATCAAACAACAGTATACAGCATTTTTGCCCATCGTTTCATGTTCCTATTTAGACAGTTCTCTGTCCAAAGTGGTCTCCTAGCTTTTCCTCAGGGGCATATTATCAGCTCTTGGTCTGGTTATGTCCTTGGTTTTCTGCAGCCTTGTCTACAGATACTGTCTCATGCACAGAGAGAGAAACACAATTGCAACCAAACTAATTCTTTCACCTAAGCCCCAGTACAACAACATAATGTTACTCTCTCTACCTTCTCCATCTGCTTGTTTACTTTTTATTATCTAAAAGTAAATACTCCTGAGGGGTGGACACATCCCACCTTCACTGTTTAGAATAGGAAAACTACTGTGAAAGCTAATAGAAGAACAGGAACTGTCAGTGATACCAGAGTATGGTGACCTGCTCTTAGACCTTGATTCCTTTTTGATTTTTTTTATTGTGATTGCTCTTCTTCATTTTGAATCTGATCTGAAGCCCACAGAAATCAGTTAAATTGATTCCATTCATTGGACTTTGGATCAAAACATTAATCTTTTTATATAATTCAATTTTTATTATAACGCTTGAAAATTATATTTTAAACTAAGGCTACTGTTTCTGGTTGTTTTACAGAATCCTTACCACAACAAAGAGGCTAGTCGATCACAATCATGCAGCAACAAACATTTTACTGGTAAGATAAATTATTTTCTGGGATTCATTACTGTTTATCTTCACTTGTGAGTTGTTAGTTTAATAGTGGTATGCTAAAATCTACAATGTTATAATGAATATAACAGAATATTGGAAGAGTATAAAATAATAACAAGCTCTGATGGAATCAGTGGTGGATTAAGTTATATTGGGACGCTGGGCAAACAGAAAATTGGAGGCCCCTCATACCCCATTATAAACATGAATGTATCAAAATGCATTAATAAATAGACCCATTAAATGTTTACATGATGCATTAATAAATAAAGCACAACACATAATGTCAGAATTAACTGCTCAGTTTTGCCACACACAAAACTGAGTAAAACAACTGCCTTGGGAAAATGACTCAGGTGTATGAGATCACCATAAATGTATAATAACACAAAAGGAAAGATGTTTAGGTTTAGTGCTCATGTAGACTCTTCTTTAACTCTTTTTTCAAATATATATTCTACATTGTACCTACACTACGGTAAACTACTACAAGAAAAATACAGGCCACACCTATAGCCTTGACTACAAGTCTAAGATTACCATTAGTAATTCTTGCAAATAAAATAAAGCAGTAGGACTACACAATGCATCTCAATGTTTTGTTTTGTTTTTTACCTTTCCTGAAACATTAAACATGTGCTAAACTCCATGTGCTGTACTATACAGCTGTCTCTTTTAAAGCACCCATATTTTAATGTTACCATCACATAATTATGTAACCAAAATGATATATTGTATACATGAATACACACATCTGTCCCTCTCTATATACCTGTATCTCTCTCTGTATAGGTATTTGCATAGATGTATACATGTATGCATACACATCCACACACACACACACACACACACACACAAAATCTTTCTATATATAATGTATCTCTCTAGACAGACAGACATACAGACAAACAGAAAAATCTATATCTTATCACCCTCTGTAAGAGCTCACACTTATCCACAGGAGCTGCCATCACTTGGGAGAGATGGAGACCTCTCTCTATCAGCAGCCTTATTTGGGGTCCAAAACTGCAGGCAGTATCTCAGAGACAGGGGAATTTCCCTTCTTGGCAGCAGGACTAAAGCACCATTCACTGCCCCACCTCCCCAACACACACTCTTACACACACACACACACCACACACACACACACACACACACACTCTGCATCCTCTACGAGCAACACGGCAGCCCATCCCAAGCCACCTGCCTGCCCTGTGACCTGACCTTTGGGAGGGAGGGAAGGAGGGAGGGCAGCATTGGACTCCTTGCAGGCATAGGGATGGGAGAAAGACAGGCCAGCTGGGCAGTGAGCAGGAGGGTCAGTGGGGATCCTCACTGCTGCCTCACCCCGACTATCCCCACAGAGCAGTTGGACAAGTTCCCAGCTGCTGCTTCCCACTGGCGCTCATGCACTTAATGCACGATGGAGCTTTGGTGTTTTGCTGGACTTTCCCCCACAGGCTGGGGAGCATGGCAGTCTCTGGCCCTGGCCCCTACCCCTGCTCCCAGGGTGCCCCTGATTGTCAACTTATCTTCTGGTTGTTTCCAAACTTCCCAGAAGATTTCTAACATGCAATGTTTAGAGTTAAAGCGGAATTCTTTTAAAAGTTTTATTGCAGGGGTCAATAACGTTTTCCAGTGGCGAGCCAGAATGACCCAGCTTGGGTCTGAGGTAGGTCTGCACTAGGACCAGGCCACCTTCACTACTTCTCCTTGTGGCATAGGAAGAGCTCCCTCTTCCCCAAAGCCTCCACCATGTAGTTTTGGCATGGTGCAGACAGAGCCCCCATGCCACCAAATACTGTCTTTGCTACAGTTCTAAGGGCTGGATACAATGGCTCCATGGGCCGTAGGTTGCCAATCCCTATTTTCTTTCATAAAATATAATTTGCTTTACCAGTGTTGACACTTACCAGCTCATATCAAAGAACACATTTATGCTAAATCAGATTGGTGTTTTGTTTTGTTTGTCATGTATTTACTTCTATAAGGACTTAAATTGTCAGCTATTGTTACTATGGTCCAAATGCAAAAGTCAACAGGTAGTTTCTATAACAAATTGGGAGACATAAAAGCATAATGTTATAGCTCAAGATTGTGCTTTTTTCCACAAAGAATCACTAATTAAGACCAGGAATAACTGCATAGCCCACTGACCTACTATTACAAGTTAAGTTCTGCTAAACTTCTGTTTCTTCCTAAGATGGGTTCCTGCTCTCTCGTTGCTAGAAGGTATTAGGTGCACAGAAATGAAGGGAAAATGGAACAAAACTATCTGCAGTATAACTGATAGATTCAACCACGTCAGCTGTCTTTACCTAAACTTGTATGTTGAGGATAGTGGAAGTATTTGTCACTTCTAACTGTTCAAATAATTTTAAAAAATAAGTTGTTTTATTATTAAAGCAGGTATTAAAACAGTTTGAATTTCACTGAAGGCTCCCACATGGCCACAGGCAATCCTTATATATGTTTACTTACAACACAATGATTTTGTTTTGTGCTGCTAGCTCTTCATGACATTTTTAGCTCTCAATTTTTCATTGGGTTTGAGACACTTCGATTTCACTTCATGTGTTCCCTGTGGATGATACTAAAATATTTAAATGTCTGTCCATCTATACTGAACTGTTATTCTTTGTATTTCAGGATCACTGTAGCCATCAAGCTGGTTTTGTGCCTGTTCCTATGGCTCCCTGGATCACAAGCTTCAGTTAGCTTTAAGCCCAACATAGTGCTGATACTGGCTGATGATCTTGGTATTGGAGATATAGGCTGCTATGGTAATGATACCATAAGGTAACAAATTTGAGTAAACTAGCATATTAATTCACCTTTTAATTTAAGATTGGCATGTTCTGCCCTAAATGAAGCCACTGAGAGGGGTGCTGTGTTCAGCTTGTGGCAGGTTTATGCCCCAGGCCATGAATCCCCCTGCTGGTCATGTGACTCTTGCCCAGCTCAATCTCTATTACAACCATCCCTTAATTGCTCGCCTGCCGTGCCTTGTTGTTACCAGAGGTTGAATAACAGAGGTTGCCCATGTGCCTTGGAGTGAGCCATAGTCCACTTTTGATATCACTGGGTCTCTCCTGAACCTCCAACCACTTTGATCCAACCCTTAAGCTCAATAGACACTCTCAGCTGATCTGTGCCACTGTAGGACCCCTGCAGCTTTGAAGGCTCCATGCATATCTATGCCCCTCCAGAACACCTGTAGCCTTAAGTGTTCAATGCATGGCTTTATTTCCTCCCCTACATCATGCCCAAGCCTCACAGCTGTTCTTTCTCTTTGATTTTAACTCTTTATACACTTGGCCCCCTTGGACCCTCAGACCCCCTGGTTCCTTATGCAGTCCCTCCTCTGGGATCTTGGACCCCTGGTCCCATACAAAGCCTCTCCTCTGGGCTCTCTAGTCTGGCTTAACCAGCTCTGAGCTGCAGATCCTCTGACCCACCCCAGCCCTTCCCTGAGTTCTTGAACCTTCTGGTTTGGGTCTCAGCCTTTTACTAGGATGCAGGACTCCACTAATGTACAGATATGTAATGGTGTTTCATTTTAATCATGGAAAAATGTGGGTTTGGATTACTTTTTTTTAAATCTGAAAATTGGGTGGTTGAGGGGGGGAGGAATGATTGTTTTTATCAAAGAAAACCAGGATCTCTGGTCATAAGAAAGTGCTGACAGTCAACCTAAAAGTCAGTTAAGGCTCCCTGAGAGTGACTTGGGTTTTACATATGCAGAACCAATTGGCTGTCTCAAAAACTATTGCACATTTTGAACACTTTTACTATTATTGGTTGTACATTGTACAAGAATTGAAATTATTGTACAAACATGATAATTACTGTATACCTGGCAACACTGTTATGCAGGCTCTGGGCTTATATAACTCAGGTCTCAGTCCTCTTCCAACCAGGTGAGTCCCTCATTAGCTCCCCTCTACTACCTGCAAGCAGCCTTTCATTCTCCCTTTCTCCAGGTTAAATATACATGGTTCCTTCAGTCTTTCCTCATGTGGTTTCCATTCTACCCTTTTTATCTCCATCACTTACCTCTGAATTCTTTCTAGTTTCTCTCTATCCTTCTTCAAATACAGTGATCCAAACTGATTTTTTTTAGGACCCCTAATATTGACCGTCTAGCAAAGGAAGGAATAAAACTGACTCAGCACATTGCTGCGGCTCCACTTTGCACTCCAAGCAGAGCAGCCTTCTTGACTGGCAGATACCCCATCAGATCAGGTCTGGATCTATTTAATAGTATAGTGTTCTCTTAACAAAGGAATGTAGTTAAACATTTTCCTTATGTTGTTACAAGAATCCCTTCTTCCCATTTTCTACATGACAACAATTGTATATTAATAATAGGAAAAAAAGGCTATGAAGTACAAACAGATGAGAACAGCAACCATATTAAGTCCATTTAGTCACTCCCAGTACCCCTCCACATAGACCATACTACTTTGGGGCTTCCTAGATATTTATGAGGTATAGCTGACCAATAAGGAGAAGAGCAGGGTAGGAAAGCAGTAGTAATTCTTATCAACATGTTTCCCCCACCCCCAACTTATGTTTTGTTCCACTAAAGAATATGGAATAATGCTGCTCTGTTATATTATTTAAGTAGTGATGTCCTTAATTTTAAGTAGTTACAATACCATCATGAAGTACAGACAGTTGATAGCACAATACACACATGGCAAAAGATTTCTTAAATGTGTTTTACTGAGAGGTACTAAAAAATATCTGGGGTAGTATTACTTACCTGTCAACAGAGGGTAAGTGAATGTTCAGAAATGTTTGGACTTATTTATTCCCTCCACTTAGGAGACAGAATGGCAAGAATGCTTTCTGTAGCTGTATCTTAGAATTCACCCATTACACAAAATAATCAGTTGACATTTACATTATCTGCTTAGGTTCCATCACTTGAGAAAAAGCCATCCTAACAAACTCAGTCCCTGGAATAAAACGAAATGGAAACTAAATATTTATACAAGCTTCTATCCATAATTCTCTAGTCAGTCTATTGTAAATTATAACAATACAGAACACCCCAAGGGTTTGAAACTGATGTGTTGGCCTAGTTCTATCCTGAGAATTCCCACTGAGATCACTTGGAGATGTGCACACAGACTTGTGCATTTGTCTTGGCACAGTGCCCACATACCATGGATGCTACTGTACAATATAAATAACCTTTATAATATTGTCTCTTTTCAGACTTACAGAAAATTGATATTTGAGTTGCATTCCCTGTGTATTTACATATTTGCTCTCTCACCTCAAAACATTCACTTTGGTTGACAGTCTTCAGTAAAATAGTTTGGCATTTTACTTTGGTAAAAAAAAAAACAACTTCCAACTTCACTGCAATAATTATCCTGGTTTTCTCTGATTAACACTCCTCATCCCCCTCCTCCCCTCCCCCCCTCCATTTTCAGATTTAAAAAGCAAGCCAAAAATTGGGGATTTTTTTTGTCAGAGAAAACCAGAATCCCTGATGATTATTCATAGTTACATTATAGAAGAAAATTTAATGTGAATAAAATTCCATGGAACTAGTGCTTATGTACAGGGGCCAAGGCCTAAGCACATAAATATTTTTTTTCCATTGGCCAGCTTTGGTATAACCTGGGAAGGTGTTTTCAACCTGAATGCTTGCTAAGATATATTTCTGTAACTATTCAGTTGGTCTGCTAAAAGATACCAGATTGGATTGACCCAAAGGACCTTGTCTGCCAGTGCCATATCCTTAGACGAACACCCCTAGCATCTGACCAGAAGGACACAGGGCCCTGGGCACATCTAAGCCCCCAGGCTGGGGCTGGCAGACAGAGTTCTCTGGCAGCTGCTAGAGAAGAAGTTCCTGCAGGAAAGGAAAGAAAAGCTCTATGACAGTTTGGCTGCCTGAGATGCTACTGTGCTGCTCACTACATTATTTTATTACCTGTTGTCATTTAAAGTGGTGGTCTAACCTGAGGCTGTAGGGGAGCAGGAGATCTCATTGGACCACACTACCATGTTGTGTAGAGGCCCCAGTGCCAGTGAGGATGCGCCTTATCACACATGCAGTGTCACCCCTGTCACGAGTTTTGCTTGTCAGCGGCCTCAAGTGGTTTCCCAGACACCGCTGCACCTATCTCCTTGAACCCTGGCAGGTTTCATGGCCTCAGCAGGAGCTACCCTGCCTGTTTCATATGAATCAGGCAAGAAATGACAAAGTTATAGAAAGTTTCATGCTTCCCCAAATGGAACAGTGGTTTCAAAATGAAACAAAACTCAAAATGAAACACTGTCCCATCAAAACAGTGGAACGGAAGTCAAAAGTAAATGGTGCTGTTCTGCACAGCCCTAATGATTTGTCCCCATAGGTCCATTTAACAAACCAGAAACCAAAGGAAAAATCATTAAAAAAAAAACTTCCCTCACTCCTGGGACTATTTCCGTACAGTCTCTCTCTCTCTCTCTCAGGCAGGGACAGTCTGGGCTCCTTATCAAGCATGGGTCTACTACTTCTCTCCCTCTGCTGGCTATCTTTTATCCAGCCCAGCCGCTCCCTCCTTCCAGTCATGTAGCCTGCTCAGCCACACCTGGCCCTTGCAGAGCCAAAAGATCCTTGTCTTAAAGGGGCCAGGCCTTTTTTCTTCATTCTTTGCAACATGAACTCATCTCCCTGTTACACCAGCAAATTAATCACTTATTAAAAAAATGTTAACACAGTGGAAGAACATAACAGGTGGGTTAGCAAGTCTGACAAGTTTCAACAGTGAAGATAAGGAAGTTCAAGTGTTATAATATAAATATGGCCCTAACTATAAGGTTAGAGTTGAATACATGCATTCTTGTTACTTTTTTAGTACTGTTTTAAATGCATATATTTTAGGTATGGATTCCACTAGCGAATTTCGTGTTATTCAGTGGAATGCCGGTTCAGGAGGCCTCCCTCCAAATGAAACCACATTTGCCAAGATATTGCAGAAGCAAGGCTATATCACTGGACTCATAGGTATGTAGAGGCTCAATAGCATCTGCATAAAAATAATTTCACCTGAACACCTATTTTTGAGTTTCATTTACTTGGAGATTGATCTGTAGCTGTAATGTTTCCTTTCATGGGTATATCATGTAAGTAACACTTCTAAGCCAAAGAAAGTATTCTATGCAGAGAGAGATTCAGTCAGCTGGGGAAAATAAATAACATGCTTGGCCTTTAGTTAGAACTGTATCAAAACAAGCTACAAGTAGGGATTAAAAATCTAACTGCCTATATCATTACATGGATCGTACCAGCCTCCTATAATACCAGGATTCTCAAAATAGATTATACACAAAGAAACATTTTGCATGTGCATGTTCAGCTTTTAGACACTGCATGTCAGGTCCTTTGTTAGCACCATGATGTAGCAGACATTAAAATCAATGGAGCTGGGCTATTGCATACCATCAGGGGTTTGGCTCTTCAAATATAGTGCCCTTTGTGCACCTGTTCTCTGCCTGACTCCTTGGTGTCCCCCATTAGCCCAGGGGCTTGTCATGCCTTGCCCCATCCTCTACCACAAATTGGGACAAAGGAAGCTTACGGTGTCAGACAGGACCCTGGAATAAAAAAAAGAGCATGCTTGTCTTTTCTCAAGGCAATTGCTTTATTAAGAAGTTAAACATAAGTTTAACTAGCATTCAGATCAGGCAATAGAAATGCAAAAATATACTCACGCCTGCGTGGATGGGTGTAAGCAGGACCCCAAAAACTCTAAGCTTTTGTTCAATTTTTCCAACAGCTCAGGTCCATGATTCTCCTCTTCCCGCAGGTTTACAGTCACACACACACACACACGCGCACACACACACACACACTTATTAGCAACATACATCCATTTACAACTTAATTATGTATAATTTAATAAAAGGTGTTGATGATGAAGACTCCCTCCCCAGCTAAATGCAGAATTTATGATAAATACTTAAGAACTGTTTAACTAAGATGGTCTCAGATGTTATCAATTAAATTTCGACTCTTGACATTCAGTGCTGTTCTATATGGTGATAGGTTTTAAATGCCTTGTTTGTGTGACTATAGTCAAAGCACTTAAGTCGGTGCTTCCTTGTTTACATTGGGAAGACTCTGGCCTTGTAAGCCTGTCTCTCTACAAGGTTAAAAGTTCATTTGAACATTTCTATAATGGAAGATGTATACTAGATGGAGGCACTTTCCCCCAGACCTCACTTTAGGATATTCAGAAGTTAGAACGTATCATATTATACACATGCACAATTTTTTGATACATTCACATAGTACATCTTATACTACAGGATGAAGGAAGATGTTAATTTTATTTATAGGTATCTAATAATACCACAACATAGTCACACAATGTTGTTACGGAAACAATTTTCGTCCTTTCGGTCATGATTAGGGTTACCATATGCCCGAGTTTTCCCAAACATGTCCTTTTTTTTGATCCCTTGTCCTCCATCTGAGTGGGTTTTTAAAATGCAAGCAAATGTCTGGGATTTTGCTCTTCCTCCACTTTTCCCTGGCACTTGCAGTTTGGCTGCTTGGGGCTGGTAGTAGTGGGGGAAGGTGACTGGCTTTTGGCGGATCATGTGCTCTGTGCATAGGCCCTGGCAGCTGCTTGCAGGTAAGAGACAGAGACAGAGAGAGCACGCATGTGAGCTACATGGGTAGCAGGGCTGGAGGGGCAAAGGTTGGCAGGTTGGGTATGAGAGGCACTGGCAGGACTGGGGGCAGAAGGGGGCTGTGGATTGGGAGTGAGGGGCACAGGCAGGGCTGGGGGGA